TGTGGTTCGATTCCCAGGCAGGGCACATGCCTGGATTGCAGGCTAGTTCTCAGGAGGGAACACAGGAGAAGCAACCATACATTGATATTTCTCTCCTTCTCTTCTTTCCTTTCCCTCCAAAGATAAATAAATAAAATCTTTAAAAAAAAAGAACTTGTATTTCTCCAACTTATTTCACTGTGACATCATTCATATACCAGATGGCCAACTATTAGAATGACTGACAGGATGCTAAAGAAATTCACTAGCTTTTCATTGCCTTCCTGATGAGTTAACTAATCATTTATTCACTCAAGAAACATTTGTTGGGACTTCTGGCCAAAATGGAGGCATAGGTAGTTATGCTTTGCTTCCTCATACAATCAAAAGAAGGACAACAACCAATTTAAAAACAAAAACAAAGAAGGAGCTCCTACCCTTGGCGACAGCATGGATGAAACTGGAGAGCATTATGCTAAGTGAAGAAAGCCAAGCGGTGAAAGACAAATACTACATGATCTTACCTATAAGTGGAACCTAATCAACAAAACAAACAAGCTAGCAAAATAGAACCAGAGACATTGAAATAAAGAACAAATTGACAGCAGCCAGAGGGGAGGGAGAAGGAGGATAACAGGGGAAAGAGGTAAAAGGGTCATCAAGGAACATGTATAAAGGACCCATGGACAAAGGCAAAGAAAAGAAGGACAAAGGGTAGGAGGTGTGGGGGTATTGAATGGGGAGAAGTGGTGGAGAGAAAATAGAGACAACTGTACTTGAACAACAATAAAAATAAATAAAATAAAAAATAAATTAAAATAACAAAAAGAAATATAAACAAAAAGCAACCAGAACTGCAAAAAATCAAACTGTATGGAATTCTGATAACCAATGAGTCAAAGAGAAAACATTCATCCAAACCAGTAGGACAGGTGGAGAGGACATACAGCAGTGTGGTGGACTGGGTGGGCAAGGCAGCAGCTGGTAAACCAGGGTAATCGCACATTCATATTCAGAAAAGCTGGGATGAACAATTGGAGAGCAAGACACACTGCAACCCAGGGTTCCAGCACAGGAAAATAAAGCCTCAAAACCCCTACCAGTAAAAACCTGTGGGGTTGTGGCAGCATGAGAGTCCCCAACCTCAAAGGAGACTTCATTAGAGAGACTCACAGGGTCCTAGAACATACACAAACCCACCTACCTGGAAAGCAGTACCAGGAAGGCCCAATTTGCTTGTGGGTAGTAGGAGAAGTGACTGAAAGTGGGGTGAGAGCCGAGCAAGCAGCATTATTCACTCTCTGACTACACACCACATACAGTGCCACAAGGCAGTGAAGTGGGTTGCCCCACCCTGGTAAATAATACCTAAGGCTGCACCCTTTACAACATAACAGATACAAAGAGACAAAGAACTATGGCCCAAATGAAAGAACAGATCAAAACTCCTTAAAAAGAACTGAGCAATGAGGAGATAGCCAACAAATCAGATGCAGAGTTCAAAACACTAGTAATCAGTATGCTCACAGAAATGATTGAGTATTGTCTCAAAACAGAGGAAGAAATTAAGGCTATGCAAAGTGAATTAATAAAAAATATACAGGGAGCCAACGGTGAAGAAAAGGAAACCAGGACTGAAATCAATGATTTGGAACAGAAGGAAGAACTAAACAGCCAACCAGAACAGAATGAAGAAAGAAGAATTCAAAAATATGAGAAGAGGCTTAGGAACCTCTGGGACACTTTAAACATTCCAACATCCAAATCATTGGGGTGCCAGAAGGAGAAGAGGAAGAGCAAGAAATTGAAAACTATTGGTAAAAATAATAAAGAAGAACTTCCCCAATCTGGCAAAGGAAATAGACTTCCAGGAAGTCCAGGAAGCCCAGAGTCCCAAAGAAGTTGGACCCAAGGAGTAACACACCAAGGCACATCATAATTACATTACCCAAGATTAAAATGAAGGAGAGAATTCTAGAAGCAGCAAGAGATAAGGGGAGAGTCACCTACAAAGAAGTTCCCATCAGACTGTCAGCTGATTTCTCAAAAGAGACCTTATAGGCAAGAAGGGGCTGGAAAGAAGTATTCCAAGTCATGAAATGCAAGGACCTACATCCAAGACTGATCTATTCAGCAAAGCTTTCATTTAGAATGGAAGAGCAGATAAAGTGCTTCTCAGATAAGGTCATGTTCAAGGAGTTGATCATCACCAAGCCCTTATTATATGAAATGTTAAAGGGACTTATCTAAGAAAAAGAAGATAAAAAATAGGAACAGTGAAAGAACAGCAAACTCAGTTATTAACAACCACACCTAAAACAAAAGCAAACTAAGTGGACACCTAAAACAGGAGCAGAGCCACAGGAATGGAGATCATGTGGAGAGTTATCAAGAGGGGAGTGGGAGGAGGAGAGAGGGGGAGATGGTACAGAAAATAAGTAGCATAGATGGTGGGGAGAAAATAGACAGGGGGAGAGCAAGAGTAGTGTGGGAAATGCAGAAGTTAAAGAACTTATGACACATGGACATGAACTAAAGGGGGGAATGTGGGTGGAAGGGAATGTGCAGGGTGGAGGGGAATGAAGGGGGTAAATGAGACAACTCCAATGGCATAAGCAATAAAATATATTATAAAAAAGAAAAGCACAGTTAAATAAACTAAATAAAAGAAAAAATATGAATTGGTAATGAGGTAAGTTAAGAAGTGAAATGTAGGAATGAGACAGTGGAAGTAAAGAGTATAAATTATACCTCCAAAGAGTATAATAGAACAACTTAATTATTCAACAATAAAATATTAAATTCTGGAAGAGATAATGGAATACTACAGGACCATTAAAAATGACATAAAGAAAACATACTGACAGGGGAAAATGGCAAAATATTATACATTGCTAATCTTTTTAAAATACATACAACAAAGAACATTTGCATGCACTAATATCAAGCCTCAAAGCATATAAAGCAAAAAATAAGAAAAGAACAGTAAGAAATGAACAAATTTATAATAATTACTTCAAAACATCTCTCAGCAGTTAATATATACCCGTAGAATAAGCAGACCAAAAATCAGTATGAGCTGGCTCTGGTGTAGCACTGGTGCTTATTCTCATTACAAATTACAAAATATGAATTAAAAACAATTACTTATCATTCCACCCTGAAAGATTATCAAACATTTCAAAGTCTGGCAATTCTAAGCATAAGCAAGGATGTGGTCCAGTGGAGATTCTTACATATCACTGCTGGTACTTGAAGCCACATTGTAAAACAGTTTGACCTTGTCTGATAAAGTTGAAGATTCAACAATTCCACTCCTAGTCAAAATATTTAACAACCTATATAGGACACCCCATTTCTCACAAACAGCCATGCAAGTATGATTACAGCTGACCTCTGGCACACAGCAACTGTGGTCACAGCCCCATGAGGGCACCAGGTATCTCACTACCAGCACCCAGGGACTATTCTGCACTGTGCACAACCAGAGACCCAGAACCACTAGGAGATGAGCTCAAACATCAGAGGGCCATGAGCATAGCTCCTCAGCAGTGATGAAAAGGGCTCCCCAGGCTGCAACAGAGTTCAAGGGATATAAGAAGTTTGGGGCAGTGGCTTTTTACCAAAAGTACTTTATTATTTTAACTGTTGTCGTCACCTTAATAGCTAATGAGCAAAATGGGCGAATCTCACAAAAATGGAGTTGAGACATGAAAGAATAAATACATGAAGATTTTATTCATATAAAGTTTTTAATAAGTAAAACTAAACAAGACTTTCAGAGGAGCATAAATATAAAGAAATGTAAAGAAATGATTGTTTGGGTTGTAAAGAAGGATGGATACCAGAAGGATTCTGGAGTAGTGGAAATGTCCCTTATAATTATGTATCGACTCATCTGTATATGTTTATTTGTTTTTTTATCCTGACTCGAGGATGTGTTCATTGATTTGAGAGAGAAAGAAAGGTGGGGGGGTGGAGAGAGAGAGAGAAGCATCAATGTGAAAAACATGGAGTGTTCGTCCCCTGTAGATGCCCCCACAGGGGATCAAACCCACAACCTAAGTATGTGCCCTGACTGGGAATTTAACTGCGTCATTTTGGTGTGTGGGATGATGCTCTAACCAACTGAGCCACCCAGCCAAGGATCATCTGTATATGTTTTTTTAAGATTTTATTTATAAATAAAATTTATTTATCTATTTTTAGAGAAAGGGAAACGGAGGGAGGAAGAGAAGGAGAGAAACATGGATGGATTACCTCTCGCATGCCCAAACTGGGGACCTGGCATGTGCCCTGACTGGCAACCAAACATGCAATCTTTTGCTTGGGGGATGACACCCAACCCAGTGAGCTATATAAGTCAGGGCTCGTCTGTATATGTTTAATAAACTTTCATCTAATTATCTTGTTGTCTTGTAGCTACTCAAGGCCAGATAGGTTCACACAGGATTCAGGCAGATGGAAGAATGCCACGGAGCCTGTCAGGATTTCTGACACGCCTTTATTCAGGGGTGGGGAGACCCACGCATACTGGAAGCCACGTGTCACACCGCGTGTCCCAGCTCCCTGAAATACTAAATGCACACACAGCCGGCAGGGTGCCAAGATATTATATACAAAGCGTGATCTGCACATGTGGGCCCACTTAAGGTTATGGGAATACTGCTATCAGCCCAGTATGGGCTGACTGACTTCATTTCCCCTATGGTTATATTTTGCAATTGGAGCAGAAAAAAGTAAGGAAAAATCCTAGGCAAATAATGGCTGGGATCAAACAGCATTTGCAGACAAAATATGATAGCATAAATTGCATGGTGAAATCTGGGCAGAGATGTGGCTCACAGCAACAAAAAAGAAAACTGATTGGTGAGTAAAAGAGCAGGTGACTAAGGTATTGATTAGTGACTAAGATATTTATTCAATGGCAGTCCAATCCAGGATCCAGGGAGAGCATTGTAGAGAGAAGTGGAAGAACTTAAATCAGAGAGAAGCTTCCATGGCAAGTTTCCCAAAGAAAAATGGGCACCAAGGGCAAAGTAAGCAAATATACTGTTCCTTTGCTCAGTTCTTTTTTTTCATATATACATTCATGAAAACGAAGCTTCCTTCAGAAGTTTCCATCTAAACTACTTGCAGAAGGCATCCATTTAAAGTTGATCAAAAGCATCACCCATGTTAGCAATTTAAGAAAATCACTGTGGATTTGCCAGACTGCTATCACAAGGGTGTTAAATTAAATATTATTTGTGATGGCCAAAAAAACCGAGAGATTTGGGTAACTATTCTATAACCATAAAATAGAGTTTGCATTTGTTAAAAGTAACATTAGAGAAGAATATAAAAAATATTTATATTATATTAATAAGTAGAAAAAAGTAGATCACAAAATATCACATAGAATATGATCCCATTTGGAGATACTCAAAGGATTTACCTCTTAAAATTACAGATGGGTTTTATTTCTTTAGCTCTTATTTGTATATTGAAAATTTCCATAATTAATATATATTTCATTTATAAATAAGACTAACAATATTTTAAAATATAATTCAAAATTACTATCAAAAATATGTATTTGTGTTATCAAAAGCAATAGTAGTAGCATTAGAATGGAGAATTATAGGTTTGTTTCTTTCCACTTTCTTTCCATGTTACTTATATTTAAAACTAAAAATATAATGTTGAGGCTAAATAACATTTTAATTATAGAATCCTGCTTAGTTTACAAAATTAATTTATAAAATACTGCTTAACTTCTTTTTATATATTTTTACCCAAATTCTTGCAAAGAGACCAAAATTTTATGTAGTATTTATACTACTGGTAAATTTACTAATTATTTAAGCCTCACTTCTCAAACACATATGTGAACATGAATCCCCTGGATCTTGTTCAAGTGCAGATTTTGTTTTAGGGTGTATGGGGCAGGGGTTGTAGCTGTAACACGTTCCCTGGGGATGTCAATAACTAGAGCTCTGAGGGAGGATCCTACCATGTGTAGCAAACATGCAAAAACACGTCTATGCTCTAGCAATAAAAACTCAGGTCATTCAGAGCTGATAACAAATTATTTAGTCAACAAATACTTATTGGCTGCCTACCCTCTCTGCTACTGAAAGAGAAAAAAATCAAGATTATATTATATTAGGGTAAACTTCAGTGCACCTGTTTTTTTCAAACATTAAAAGTATAATGACTATTGTGTAGATCATGACTTATTTTCAAAAAACATCCCTTTTCTTTAAAATAATATAATCATATGTAACATCCAGCCACAAACTCCATAACTCCTTATATGAAATTATGCTATGAACATGATTTTTAATTTTTCTCCTACTTTCTTTCTGTCTCCCTTCTTCCCACTTTCCCTCCTTCTCTCACCCCCTCTCTTCCTCTCCCTCCCAGGTTATCAAATGCAAAGCAGCTATCGCCTGGGAAGCAGGCAAGCCACTTTGCATAGAAGAGATTGAAGTAGCTCCCCCAAGGTGCATGAAGTCCAAATTCAGGTGAGAGGGGACTTTCCCTGGGCAGGACAGGCAAGGTATCAAGTGCAGACTTGGCTTCTGTCAGGTCAAGCCTCTGCGGGATGGTGGGCAGCCCTGGAGGTCTCAGTATGGGGGGATTATATTTTTAGGTTCAGGTAAATCCAGGCCTTATCCCCAGGAAGGGTAATTTATTAATTACCTATGATTAGTTATTTATTACAGGTTTAAAATTTAACTAATATATTTTAACATTAATGATTGACCTTAAGAATCAGATTAAGTAACTCATATTGCATTAGAGTTAGTTATGTTTTGTTTTTGTTTCCTAGTTGCCAATTACTGGAAAGTGTTATTAAAGGGAAGATAGAACATTTGTTTCAAAACAGGGAAAGGAAAAGCTGAAGTGCCTAGACAGCACTGGGTCTGCGGTGCCCAGATGAAGGGACAAGAGTGGGTTGGCAGGGAGAAGAGCCCACACTGAGTAGACAGATCACTGACAGCAAGTCAGGATAATTTCTCCATTTTCCCAGAGCTGGCTGGCAAAGTTTTTCCTCCCCCAACCACGGTCAGTGCTTATACATGAGAATGAGTGAGATAGCCTCATGAGCAGAATCTTGAACAACAACAAAAAACCCATGGATATGACAGTAACTAATTTAGATAACCCTTTACTTGATACCTCACTTTTAACTATAAAATTTTTATTACCTCTATTTCATTTCATGTTGTTTCAACAAAATGTGAACAGGGCCTAGACACCTATGTTCCTTCCACTCCCTCTGCCTATTAGACTTGGTTTAAATTTTCCCCATTACTTTTTTTTTCCCTCTTCTGGAGACATTAACTGCCAATTTCATCTCTTTGCATGATTTTCCAATGACAGTAAAAGTCAGACTACAAAGGTATAAGAAAAAGAATACATCCTAATATATTTTTATTTATTTTTTTCATTATTTTTATTGAACTCTAAGAATGTTAAGTTTCAAGATAACATTGAAATTATCTTAAAGTCATCCACCCAACAAGGCCAATGATATAACTGCAGAAACAACTCAAGAACTGGTTGCTTTGTAGACAATCGCCACTGGCATGTGCCACTCTGATGCCCATATTCTCCATCTTCAATTTACAAAGGCTCTTTTCCTGGTGGTCCTTGGCCATGAGGGGGCAGGAATTGTGGAAAGCATTGGGCCAGGAGTGACCAAATTCAAACCAGGTATTTTATTTTCTGATTCCAGTTAAGTAGAAATGTCAGAACATTTCATGGATAATTCCTGATATATTCCTGGATTTGCATGCTATAATTGATCTCTGTTTACATTAGGGTACCATCTTCTCCAAAGGAAAATTGAGAAACACAATCTATCACAGTCTAACAATGAGACAGAGTACTCAAAATCAGAATTGTCTAATAAAATCTGAGGAATAGGGTCACTTTATTTAGATATACCAATGAGAACTGTCCCGTGAGGCAAAGCTACAAATTTACATTAAATCGAAGCTGCCATGAAAGCACAAATGACAACTTATAACAACCTCCTCTAAATAAAACAGAAAACTAATAAAATATTAGGAAGACTTTAAAGAATGAGGAAGCTCATTCTATAGGTAGATTAAGTGAGAAATATTATACGTATGTCAATGTTAGCTTAAATGCTTTTGGAAGTTTGAAAGATAAAAATAATATGTAAATGAAACGTGCCAATGACTGAAATGATTTATTTCAGATTTCATAGCAGGCCCGCCAAATACTGAAATGAGGGCTATGTAACTCTCACTTGGCAGACAACATGACCATTTCATTCTTTCTTCCTTTAAGGTGAATGCTCCAAACCTTAGGGCATATTACAATAGTACCTTTTCATTTCAAACAAGATCATAAAAACGAATTGCTTCTGGAAGTTTTGCATCCATAAAGGAGTCTGGCCAATGTAGTCCCAAATCTGCCTCTTACTGGCTGTGGGACCTTAGCCAGTTAAGTCACTTTTCTGTCAGTCAAGTTCTTGTTTTCTAACATGGAACAATAATAGCGTCTGTCTCAAAGAATTAGATGAGACCATACAACTAAGCAGTTAGAGTGGTGCCTAGCACACACTGAATGTTGAACAAATGTTCATCATTCTTGGACCTTGGTCATCAGAGGGTAAAAACCATTTTTAAATCAAAATTGAATTAAAAATAGGAAACGTGGAATTTGATAGTGAAACAGATGGTGAAACACAGTGATGGTATAAAGTTTACTCTTAGTATCTAGCCTATCACTGTCTACCTCTTCTATTATTTGTATAAGGATGTCCTATTCCACACTGGTGTTTACAAGTATAATATGCAACAGTCAGGATGTAGAGAGCTGCAATGGCAGCAGAGTCTCAGAGAGAACTTTTCACCTGATGGTATCAATACCAGTTTGTTGCTTGACTGCCCAGCAGGGGGAAAAAGACAAAGTAAATGCAATACTTGGGAAAATCAGCAATCTTATAGAATAACAAAATGTTATAGCCACCTACACTTTCTGCTGAACATAAAATTTACACCATAAAGAATGGTGTTTTCCACTGATTTGTGTGGTAGAAGTTATTTAAAAGTAATATTTATAAGTAACATTTATAGGTACCATGCAATATATGGCTTTTGTTTCTAGGTGACAAAGTAATTCCACTCTACACACCTCAATGTAAAAGATGCAAGTTCTGTCTCAGTCCAGTCACAAATTTCTGCGCAAAACTCAGGTAAGCTCTATACTTTGTTAGTAAGAGTGTAACTTGGTACAAATAGTTTGGACAGTACATTGGCAATATCTAAATTGAAGTTAAAGAGGTGCATATTTTCTACCTACCAATTCTACTCAGGTATGTACATGAAACTGTCACAAAATCACCCAAAGGGACATGTGCTAAAACATTCATTGCAAAATTATTTATGATAGCAAACAATTGAAAATAGCACAAATATCCACCAATAAGAGAATGGGTTCACACACAGATTTTCAAACATTTTCATCTCATGGCACACATAAGCTAATTACTAAAATTCTGTAGTATGCAAAAATATGTTTTGCCAATCTGACAACAAATAGGTATTAATTTTGATTCATTCATATCAGACAGCTATTGTTGTGTTGGCTGTTGTCATTTTTTTTTGTTTGACCATCTAAGAGAAAAAGGCTCAGTGACCCCAACTAGATAGTTTGAAAAATTCTTGAAACACACTGGTTGAAAATCACTGGGTTAACAAATTGCTATGTAACAATACAATGGAATATTATGTAACTATCAAAATGGCTCAACTTGATCTACCTGTATCAATATAAAACACAGCAGTCCCCCTAATCCATGGTTTTGCTTGGTTTCAGTTACCCATGGTAAACTGTGGTCTGACAATATTAAATGGAAAATTCCAAAAAGAAACAATTTGTAGTTTTATGAAATCTCACATCATACTGCCCTCCCACCCCCAAAGTGAATCATCTCTTTGTCCATCTCTTTGTCCCCTGCCCCTTCATCTCTTAATAGCCATTTTGGGTATTAGATCTACTATCACAAAATCTTAGTGCTTATGTTCAAGTAACCCTTATATAACTTCACAATGGCCCCAAAGGACAATAGTAGTGATATTGACAATTCAAATACACCAAAGACAATCTATAAAGTGCTTTCTTTAAGTGAAAAGGTATGTATATGTAGGGGAAAAAAAACGCAGCATACCTGGTCTGCCTGGAAAAAGTCCAGCCATTGTTAATATAATGAGAATGGTTTGTGCTCCATTGATGTTACCTGGCAGCCAAGGAGAGTGGACTGACATGCACATGCATGAACAATGATGACTTTACTGTACTAGTCGGTGGGGGGTGGTAGATGCTGTTGAGTGAGCATGTGTACTGTGTAGCCATCACATTCAAAATCACTGAGTAGAGCAACAAATGTGCATCAAATTTGGTGTTAAGTTTGAACATTCTTCCACAAAAACTATTCAGATGACTCAGAAGGCTGCAACTATGGGCAACTGGTGATTGGTAGCTTCATCACAATGCACCCACTCAACCAACACATCTTGTGCAGAGTTTTTTGGTGAAACATCAAATCACCCAGGTGACTTAGCCTCACTACAGCCCAGATTTGGGCTGCAACTTCTGGCTTTTCCCAAAACTAAAATCAAATTTTATTTTGAAAGGTAAGACATTTCAGACCGTTGATGAGATTCAGGAAAATATGATGGGGCAGCTGATGGCAATTGGGAGAACTGTGTGAGGTCCCAAGGTGCCTACTTTGAAGGGGACTAAAGTGTCATTGTCCTATGTGCAATGTTTCTTATATCTTGTGTCTTCTTAAGAAATGTTTCTATTTTTCATATTACATGGCTGGATACCTCTGGACAGACCTTGTATATAGGGTTTGGTACCATACAAAGTTTCAGGTATCCACTGGAGGTCTTGGACATGTCCCCAGTGATAAAGGGGACCACTGTGATCTCACACAAATAATATTAGGAGAAAGATAATACATACAAAAATAATATCATATACTATTTATGGTTATGAGTGTGTAAGTAAAGGTATAAGCACATACCAGAATGATAAATGTCAAATTCAGAATAGCAGCTACTTCTGTAGAAGATGAGAAAGGAATGCAGTGAGGCACAGGAAAGTAATTTATTCTGAAGCCACATAGATATGTCTCAGAGCTAAATTTTGAATCTAGGCAATTAGCTCCAGAGTACAAAATCTTAATTGCTTTATTCTTTACTGAGATTACAGAAAAATTTATTTCTCCTAATGCTAATTGAAATTAGGTATGGTACTAGTCTTACATCTATTATTGTGCCTCAGTTTCCTCATCTATGAAATGTGAATAATACCAATGCCTATTTCACAGGGCTGTTGCAGTTATTCAAAGAATTAATACATCATCTTGCAAACTTTAATGTAACAATAGATTTGGCCCTTAACAAAAGGCCAAAGTTCTTTCTGACATCACAAAAAGATAAAGTATTATGTATCTCCAGATGAAAATACATACCACCACCTTTGAAGTACCCCTACAAAAATATAAAACCCAAATCAGATGAAGCATTTGGATAAAAAACACTAGTTTAGAGGAAATTTAGAGATGAAGAAACATGTTCAACTAGATGACAGCAATGCAATCAGAAAAATCTAGAGTAAGGAAAACTCTACAAGACCAATAAATGTTTCCTTAAAAAAAATAAACTGCAAAGAAAAAAACAAGAGGGTAGGTAAGAATCTGTAAACTAAGAGATTGAGGAGACATACCAACCAAATGCAATGTGTGGACTTATGAGAATCTTTTTTTAATTTATTTTATTGATTATCCCATTACAGTTGTTCTATTCCCCCCCTTCGTTCCCCTCCACCCTGCAACCCCCCACCCCCACCATTCCCCCCTTTTAGTTTATGACCATGTGTCTCAAGTTCTTTAGATTCTATATTTCCCATACTATTCTTGCCCTCCCCCCTATCTATTTTCTACCTACTGTCTATGCTACTTATTTTCTGTACCTTCTTCCCCCTTCTCCTCCTCCTACTCCTCCATTGCTAACCCTCCATGAGATCTTCATTTCTATGTGTCCGCTCCTGATCTAGCTGTCCTTTTAGTTTGCTTTTGTTTTAGATGTGATTGTTAATAATTGTGAATTTGCTGTCCTTTCACTATTCATCTTTTTTATCTTCTTTTTCTTAGATAAGTCCCTTTAACATTTCATATAATAAGGGCTTGGTGATGATGAACTCCTTGAATTTGATCTTATCTGAGAAGCACTTTATCTGTCCTTCCATTCTAAATGAAAGTTTTGCTGGATAGAGTAATCTTGGTTGTAGGTCTTTGGATTTCATGACTGGGAATACCTCTTTCCAGCCCCTTCTTGCCTGTAAGGTCTCTTTTGAGAAATCCACTGACAGTCTGATGGGAACTCCTTTGTAGGTGACTGTCCCCTTATCTCTTGCTGCTTGTAGGATTCCCTCCTTCCTTTGAATCTTGGCTAATATAATTATGATGTGCCTTGGTGTGTTCCTTCTTGGGTCCAACTTCTTTGGGACTCTGAGCTTCCTGGATTTCCTGGAAGTCTATTGCCTTTGCCAGGTCTATTCTCCTTTCCCCAAAGGAGAATTTGGGGAAATTCTCCTTTATTATTTGTTCAAATAAGTTTTCCATTCATGGCTGTTCCTTTCCCCCTTTTGGTACCCCTATAATTCAGATGTTGGAGTGTTTAAAGATGTCCTGGAGGTTCCTAAGTCTCTCCTCATTTTTTTGAATTCTTGTTTCTTCATATTTTCCTGTTTGGCCATTTTTTCCTTCCTTCTGGTCCACTCCCTTGATTTGAGTCCCAGTTTCCTTTTCATCACTATTGGTTTCCTGTGCAATTCCCTTCATTTCAATTAGTTTCGCCTTCATATGTTCCTCTAATTTGTGACTATAATCAACCAGTTCTGTGAGCATCCTGATCATCAGTGTTCTGAACTGTGCATCTGAAAGTTTTGCTATTTCTTCGTTGCTTAGAGTTATGGGATCTGGAGCTTTGAGATCTTCTTGAGCCATTTTCGGTCTGTTTACACCCGTTAAGTATGAGAAGTGGAACCTTAGTGTTCACTAGGGTGGGGCCACCCAGGTGGCTGGGTTGTGATGCTGTATGTGGGGGCAGGGTCAGAGCAGGTAAATAGCAACCCCCTCTGCTACCTCCCGCTGCTGGGGCCTGTTTGGTCCCGTCTCACTGTCCATTCCCTCACTGGTCTATCTGCGGATGAATGTGCAACCACAGTCAACCCGCCACCCTGTGCCCTCGCTGGGTCCACTGGTCCCTCACTGGGTCCGCCCATTGCAATCCCATGCCTGGGATCTGCGCGCCTGAGTCTGTCTGACAGAGTTTTCCTGTGCATCCCTGCTCCACCAGCTGCTGGCTTTGCCCCTCCTACCGGTCAGGCTGAAGAATTCATTGTTATCAGACTTCCAAAAAGTTAAATTTTTTGTGTTCTGGCTGTGTTTTCTATTGCTAATATTTTGTTGTCTCTAAACTTGGTTGTGTGAGAAAGCACGGTGTCTCCACCTATGCCTCCATCTTGGTGGAAGTCTCCTTATGAGAATCTTTATCTTTTAGATATATGTGCTGAAATACTTACAATGAAAGTGATGTATGGGTTTTCCTTCAAAACAGTTCAAAATAGAAAGAGGGTAGGTGGTGCTGTAGGGTTGGGGGTAGATAACAGATGAAACTACATCAGCCATGGCTGCTCATGGCTGAAGCTGGGAGAAGCTTACATAGAGACCCATTATGCTATTTTTTCTACTTTTATATTTGTTTGAATTTTCCATGATAACAAATGTTTAAAGAATACATGTAAAATCTTTAAAAGAACTTCTAGCACATAAAAATTATCTAATAAAAAGTTTATTATTATCATCATTATTATCTTTAGACTACCCCGATTATTCCATATATTATATGATATATTATGTTTTTATTATTTATATTATGTTTACTGTATATTATAGTATATCACAAGTAACAAAAATATTTAAATTATGTTATTTATATGACATACAAATACAAAATTTATTATATTATACTATATATATTTAGGCAAAATCATTTTCTCAATTTTTCCATATCATAAAATTGTCATAATTAATATATATTGCCTAATTTTTGTTTTCAGGAAAGTAATCAGTGGTCCTTTTACTTTCTTTTCTTAAATCATTTAAAATAATTCTCTAGTCAATTCAAAAATCCTGCTGTTGATCAAGAACTAATGGAGGACAGAACCAGTAGGTTTACCTGCAAAGGAAAACCAGTTTACCATTTCATGGGGACCAGCACCTTCTCTCAGTGCACTGTAGTATCAGAGACTAATCTTGCCAAAATAGATGATGATGTGAATTTGCAGAGAGTCTGTCTGCTTGGATGTGAGTTTTCAACTGGCTATGGAGCTGCAATCAACACTGCCAAGGTAATGTGATTAATCACCAGATTATATAAAATAGAAGTTATTAGGGGGCCACATGATAAAGCAGCTAGAATTATCTTCATATTCTGACTCCATCATTTATCATGTCTGGGATTGTAGGCAAGTTATTTAATTGCTCTACTCTAACTCTCTAATAATGTCTGCTACAAATTACTGTGGGAATATGAAATCATATTACACATATCAGACGTCTGGCCCAGTGGCTAGCATATAGGTGGCCCAGGTCATGTTCATTTCTTTTCCTATATGAGTATGTTGTAGTCTGCTCCAAATTTAAACACAGCCTGCTTAAATGTATCCCCTCTATATGAACCCTTATCTTGGGACAGCAGACCCAGTAAAGAGACAACAGAAACTAGAGATGCCCACCTGCCCCTATACTGCCACTCCTACTTTCTCCCTGATGCCATAGATTTCTCTCCCTGAACTGTAGTAGTTCACCTATGCTTGTCATCCTATCATTTTTTTGGCTCCAGCAGAAGGTCTCAAATGGCAGAACTGATGGTGGCAAGATGTGTCCCTAGAATCCCATGTTGGAATAAGCTTTCTAAAGCTGTTAACTAAGAGGCTAGAGAGATGCTGGTATCCCTCAAACAGCTCCTTGACATCAGTCTTTATCCCTTGACTCCAAATTGCAAAATGCAACTAAAATTGGTCTTTCTAAACAACAGATCTGAAGATTTCATTCCCCTTTCAGTACTCCTCTTTTCCTTCAGTAGTTACTGTGATTCTCCCTACCTCCTCCCCACCCAGGCTCACTGTTCTGGGCCTGGCCTCCAATCACTCTGGTCTCTGGGCTTTCTTTGTATACCTTGCTCCCATCAACACTGCTTAAAAAGCTCCTCCACCTCTTCTGGCTGGCTCTCTGTATTTGTCATCTCCTGTTGGAAAACTATTCCAGCCTTTTGGGCATGCATTAAGTGCCCCTCCCAGTTTTCCCCAAAGTATCTGTGTTTATTCCTATCTATTTTTATACCATATAATGGAGATATTTCTCATTATCTCTTCTTCCTATGAAACTACTTGCTCCTTGAAGGCAAGAACTCTCTCTTGTTTATTGTGGTATCTCTGGAGCACAGCCCTGAACTTGGCCCACAGTAAAAATGTGATAATTTTTTAATGAATAAATGAAAAGCTAGCTTCATATGCAATTCTTAAAACATCTTGGTGAAGTGTGGTCCTCAGATTCACAACAAAAATTCATTTTTATCTGGTTGCCTAGAGTTGTTCAGTATCAAGGAAACACAGTCAGCCTAATGAAAATAAGAGGCTGATCTAGTAGCCAGAGTATGACTTTTTATTGAAAATTATACTGGCCAAGCATATAGGGATGCTACTCTTGGCCATCAGCACATTATCTCCCTTTTTTCTTTAATTTATTTATTTTTTTGAATCGATTATGCTGTTACAATTGTTCTATTCCCCCCTTCATTCCCCTCCACCCTGCCCCCCCAACCCCACCATTACCCCCCTTTAGTTTATGTCCATGTGTCTCAAGTCCTTTAGGTTCTATATTTCCCATACTATTCTTGCCCCCCCATCTATTTTCTATCTACTGTCTATGCTACTTGTTTTCTGTACCTTCTCCCCCCATCTCCTCCTCCCACTCCCCTGTTGCTAAGCTTCCTTGAGATCTTCATTTCTATGTTTCCATTCCTGATCTAGCTGTCCTTTTAGTTTGCTTTCGTTTTAGGTGTGGTTGTTAATAACTGTGAGTTTGTTGTCCTTTCACTGTTCATGTTTCTTTAACTTCTTATTCTTCTATAAGTCCCTTTAACATTTCATATAATAAGGGCTTGGTGATGATGAACTCCTTGAATTTGGTCTTATCTGAGAAGCACCTTATCTGTCCTTCCGTTCTAAATGAAAGTTTTGCTGGGTAGAGCAATCTTGGTTGTAGGTCTTTAGATTTCGTGACTTGGAATATTTCTTTCCAGCCCCTTCTTGCCTGTAAGGTCTCTTTTGAGAAATCTGCTGACAGCCTGATGGGGACTCCTTTGTAGGTGACTGTCCCCTTAGCTCTTGCTGCTTCTAGGATTCTCTCCTTCATTTTAATTTTGGCTAATGTAATTATGATATGCCTTGGTGTGTTTCTTCTTGAGTCCAACTTTTTTGGTACTCTCTGGGCTTCTTGGATTTCTTGGAAGTCTATTTCCTTTGCCAGATTGGGGAAATTTTCTTTTATTATTTGTTCAAATAGTTTTTCCACTGGTGGTTGTGTCTTTCCCCCTTCTGGTACCCCTATAATTCGGATATTGGAGCATTTAAAGATGTCCTGGAGGTTCCTAAGACTCTCCTCATTTCTTTGAATTCTTGCTCCTTGACTCTTTTCTGTTTGGCCATTATTTGGTTTCTTCTGGTCCACTCCATTGATTTGAGTCCCAGTTTCCTTTTCAACTCTATGGGTTTCCTGTGGAATTCCATTCATTTCCCTTAATTTAGCCTTCATATGTTTCTCTAATTTGTGGCTATAATTCACCAGATCTGTGAGGAAGCTGATGACCAGTGTTTTAAACTGTGCGTCTGAGAGTTTTGCTATTTCTTCGTCACTTAGATTTATCTCTGGGGCTTTGAGTTCTCCCTGTGACATTTTTGGTCTGTTCTGGCCCTTTAAGTGGGAGAAGCGGCACCTTGGAGTCCCAGGTCGCTGGGTTGTGACGCTGTATGTGGGGGCGTGGTCAGAGCGGGGAAATGGGGCGCCCTCTATTATCACCACGGCCGCTGTCTATCGCCGCCGCCGCCGGTCCAACCGCTCACTCCCTCACTCGCGCGCAATTAGGCAACCACAGTCAACACGCTGCACTGCCTCCCCACTGTCTCCTCTGCAGTCGCTCACCCGGTGGGTTGCTCGGTCGCTCACTAGGTCCAATCCTGGGTTTGGAACCCGTGCGACTGGATTCGCGCGTCTGGATTCCGCGCCCGGGTCCGACCTAGCCCTCCTTTGTAACTCCTCACCCGACGCCGGTTTCGCCCCTTACCGGTTGGGCTGAAGAATTTGTTGTTAGCGGACTTCCGAAAAGTTCAGTTTTCCGTGTTCTGGTTGTGTTTTCTGATGCTAATATTTAGTTGTCCCTAAACTTGGTTGTGTGAGGAGGCACGGCACATCCACCTAAACCTCCATCTTGGCGGAAGTCCTCCCTTTTTAAAAAATCATTTGTTCATTCATTCACTAATATAAATGAAAAGTTGTATGGGAAGCCAAACTACAATATGAAGGCTCCTGTAAGAAGGGTGTTCTTTGGGTGGAGTTAACAGCCATGGGACCTTGGCAGTCATGGCACTTTCTCCTGCAGATAGCAGGAGTCTCAGGAAGAATTATTGCTCTTTGGGCTACACACACCTCCTTTTCTGGACTCTGTGCAGACTCTCCCCTTCAACTACTATAGTCTCCCTTCAGAAATGTTAACACTAGAGATTCAGCTATAAAGTTCTTTTAAATCTAGTCCAAGCTGACCTAAATTTGCAGGACATGTTCTTCCCATTGTTGAGGAATAGCTAAAGCACCTCAGGAAACGCTCAAAGAATAAAAGTTAATCTGATGGGACCCAGTAAAGGGAAGTGAAGTATCACCAACTCTAGACAAAAGCCAACACCTTTAATAAAACTAAATTTCCCTCTGGGAAGAAAATGATGCAACAACTCTATCACTGCGAACCTCCCACAACATCACCAGAACCCTAATCCTTTTTAATTTGCTTGTAATCTTTACAGCCAAATTAATCACATTTCATGGAGATCTTTGAAAGTATGAAAATGTCCTGTAATACTGTTGTCTGCAGCTAAAAAAATCAAATGGGAGGGGGGAATTTTATAGTGACTGCCCCAATACTGCAATCAAAAGCACCTTTACAAACAAGGGTACAGTTATATATATAACACAATCAGTGCAGTGTATTCAACTTACACACTGTTATGAGCTGTCCTGAGAATCACACTACTGTGTAAAACATTGCTACAATGGGAAAAATGCATTTCTACATTCAATGAGACTTACAGGCAAGCTTTGTAACACAGTCTCTGGGGAAATATATTTGAAAATAAATTAAACACATGCCACAGTATTATAGTAAATAGTATAGCACATATATAAAACAACATTCTGAATATTTACAAAATATATTTTTATTTACCCTGAATAGCCAAAACCAGTATATATATATATATATATATATATATATATATATATATCCAATATCATGCATAAAGTAAGAGATGCATATTCTCTCTATTCCTTAGTAATTTTATTCCAATTTAGAATGTATTGATATTTCTCTGGGCAGATTTTTTCTTTCCCTTTTACATATGCTTTCATTTAAACAGTGTCTCAACTTCAGTAGAAAACAATAATTAAGCATTTCTCCGCACAGTTGTTGGGGGATTTTTGTTTGTTCATTTGTCTTGCCAGTATCTCACTCTACAGATTAACATATTCCAGCTGGCACTACTTTCTGATTGAAGAGTCAGGAAATGTTCGCGGCCCTGGCTGGGCTGCTCAGTTAGTTGGAGTGTCATCCCATACACCAAAAGCCTGTGTGTTTAATTGCTGCCAGGGTACATACCTGTGCTGTGGGCTTCGCATCTCTCTCTCCCCACCCCCACTCCCTTCCTCTCTCTCTGAACTCATTTTTTTAAAAAACATACCTTAAGGGAGGATAATTTTTTTATGAAGGAAGTTTTGTGGGAACAGTGTTATTTAAGTGAAGCTAAAAATATACGTTATACTTTAATTAAAGGAAATCAGGTGAAAAGTGCAGCATGCTGAAGGAGCAGCATGAAGTAAGTCATGAGAAAAGGAAAGTGTGACAGTTTTGTGGCTGTGGTAACTGAGAATTTCATGAAGATGAAAGTGGGAGGTAACAGGGGTCACGTAATAAAATTCCTCCAAGGCCATGCAAATAAAAATGGACCTCATTTCATTTAAATAAATTGACAACTGTGATAAGTTCATTCACATTTAGAAAAACATTAGCGGTCGTTCAAAACTGTACCATTAACACAACCAAATAAGGCTGACTAGAAATAGAGCCATCACATTACCGGTGATCTACTTAAAAGGGCAAACAATAAATCCTTTATAATGTGTGAGCCTTAGAATTTTGTTCTCATAACACTGAAGGGGAAAAGAAAACATGGAAATGATTTCCACTCGGGCTTGTTCCTTATAAATTGATTATCCTAATGGCCCTCAAATGATTCTCTGAATTTAATCAGTGACTCACTCATTTTCACATTGACAAATTGCCCCAACTGGCTATATTGTTTAGTCTTATGACTGGCAGCCCTTTATTTATATGTTCCTGCCTCCACCTCACCCTGTACCCTTAAAAAAAACAAACAGTGGGACTAGATGCTTTAAGTTTAAGTTAACATGATTTTCCTGCCTACAGGTTTTCCCAGGTTCTACTTGTGCCACCTTTGGCCTGGGAGGCATCGGTCTTTCTGCTGTAATTAGTTGTCAAGTATCAGGAGCTTCCAGAATCACTGCTGTTCATATCAACAGTGCAAAGTTTGCAAAGGCCAAAGCCCTTGGAGCCACTGACTGCCTCAATCCTAGAGACCTCCCAAAGCCCACTCAGGAGGTCATCACTGAGATGACCGATGGGGGTGTGGATTTTGCATTTGACTGTGCAGGCAGATCTGAAGCCATGGTATGTATATTTTTATAACAGTATATAATTAATAATATTAAAATTAATAAACACTGATAGTATGTATATGCTAACATATTTATTCATTTCATATTTAATATTAGCGTATGTAGCTAAATTATGTTTATGTAATAAGCAGTGCTCATTAATAATGTATTAGATAGCATTTAGTATATTATAATTGATATTTAATCTATAATAAATATTACTGATTACTATTCAATACTAATGTTATTAATATTTCTCTTCATTCTTCCACATGTAACTAAGATAAAATTTAAAAATGAAAAACTTTAAAGAACGGTGCCTGCGAGAAGTTCGTGTGAAAAATGGGAAAGAAAAGGTGGGTTTAAAGAAGGAGTAAGAGAATGTTAGGGTGACTGGTGACACCCTAACAGCCTGAGGTGCCCCTTCCTGTAAAAAAGTAGAGCAGGGAGGCCAGCAACTTACCTCAATAAATGAGCTGCAAAACTAGGTCCAAATTATGCATTTGAAATTTTCAATATAATAAATACACACCTACTACAAAAAGAAAAAGTAAATCTTTTCTCCCTAAACACTGCAATTTTGTACCATTCAGATTTTTCCCCCTCAGAGGATGGGCTCTGTCTTGCAGAGCCCTGAGAAGGCCCTGAGTGGCCACAATGGCGGCAGCCCACGAAGCCAGCTCTCCCTGCTCTACTCCACAAAGCCCGGAGAGCCACCCCGACGGGCAACAGATAGAAAAGTGAGCTTGCTGGAGTGCCCAGCCTTTTTACTACCTAATGCATATTTGCTCAAAAACACTAAGTAGAGTTTTGTTTATTTTTTTTAATGAAATAACCACAGAATTCATCGACTAAATTATCTGCGGATGGCTCCTTCTTATTTCTTTGTTGAGAACTGTGAAGTGTGTGGTGTTTTGCTTTTATTTACACCTTCGCTCAGCCTGGCTCCTAAAACTCTCCTCAGGGAAGACGTAAAAATAAAATTCAGCAGGAGCAGGCTTTACAGGTTCTTCCCCTTGGTTCATACCTGACTAGTGCACTCCCCAGAAAAGAGAGGAGGCCAGAAAGAGCCTCTGAGAGCAGCAGGCTGCCATTCATGGGTCTTTCTCCCCAGAATGGTTTCATTGCATTAATATAACTGCTTAAAAGGTGTTCAGAAAAGTAGCCCTGGCTGGTGTAGCTCATGGATTGAGTGTGGGCCTACAAACCAGAGGATCACATTTCGATTCCCAGGCTTGCAGGCCAGTTCCCAGCAGGGGACCCTCGAGAGACAACCATACATTGATATTTCTCTCCTTCTCTCCCTCCCTTCACCTCTAAAGATAAATAAAATATTTTTTAAAAGGTGTTCAGGAAAGTAATAAGCACTCAATCAATGCTAGCTGTTACTGAAATTCCTGCATTGAGAACTCCTTGTCCTGCACTGCTCCCCTGGGATCAGAGCTTCCAGCCCTGCTTTTTTTAATTGGCCTTGGCACCTGCAGCTTGCAAGATGCCACATCCATTCCTCCACTTTCTAAAGCTCATATCTTTTACAAACATTGAAATTAAGCCTGTTTAATTTCCCTACTACAGACATTCTCAGCACTGACTATACCTTTTTTATTATGCCTGGAGAGATATTGGTTTTTAGTACTAGTGATTGGACTACACCTTAGATATTCTCATGAGCTGGGGACCCAGGTACCAATATTTTTTACAAGTTTCTCAAGTTGAGAACCACTTACCTAAAATTTGGCAGCTTCTATTATTAAGTGATTTATTATTTTTAAAAGTGCATTTTAAATTATGAAATAGAATTATGCTAGAGAACCCAAATTTCAAAAGATGTAATTTACCTAATCACCAAAATGATGAACTAGATCTCTACCCTTCCTTGAAAGTTTCAATAATTAGGAAAAGTTAAATCTCTGGATTGCAGAGGAGATTCCAGTAATGGCTATGAACTTGGTTTCAGTGACCTCGCATGCTCTAAAGCAACCTAAAGAACCCAACAGGACAATTAAAAAATTACAGTAATTAACAATTTTATAAGATTTTGAGAATTCAAAATAATGCTCCTCAAAAGTTATCAGAGGCTACTAAATAAAGCCTTTAATTTATATATAATGCCCATCTAACTAAGTCATTATTATGGATGTGAATTCCTTGCTTAGAGCAAAGGTCAGAAATGTGGAAAAAGCAACAAGAAAAACACTGAAAAAGAAAAAAACAGAAATCAATGTAAGCAGCTACCTTAAGGTGACCAGTAATCTTTTCCCCTCTCCATGAATATATGACATGTAAAAAAAACAAAAATGGTTCTGCCATATAAAAATTCCAAAAAGTACAAGTTTCTATTTAGAAATGGTAGGAATTCTCAAAAACAATAAATAAACACATATTAAATAAAAATTTCAAGGGACTTCTGCCAAGATGGAGGCGTAGGTAGAAGCACTTCACCTTCTCACACAACCAAGTTTAAAAATAGCAAAGTTTTAGCAACAAAAACACAGCCAAACCACAGAAAAATTGAACTACACAGTAGTCTGACAACAACGAACCCTTCAGCCAAGCTGGTAAAAGGGGCAGAGCCAGCAGCAGAGTGGGTCTGGGCAGGAAAGATCCACTGGACTGACCAGGGCGCACAACCCAGGTGCGCCAGCAGCCATGGGCAGATCCCAGGTGTGAAGAAGCAGGCAGACCCACTGAGGGTACAAGGCGTTGGACCCACTGAGGATGCAGGCAGCGGACCCACTGAGGGTGGACTGTGGTCACACATTCACCCACAGATAAACTGGTGAAGGAGCTAGCAGTGGTGAGACAGACCGTGCAGGCCCCAGCGGCGAGAAGCGGCAGAGAGAATCGCCACTGTCCCTCTCTGACCCCGCCCCCACATACAGCGTCATAAAACAGCGACCTGGGTGGCCCCGCCCTGGTGAACAACTAAGGCTCCGCTCCTCCTACATAACGGGCACAAACAGATCAAAACATGGCTCAAGAACAACTTAGAGCCCCAGAGCTGATAAATCTAAGTGATGAAGAAATAGCCAAACTTTCAGATGCACAGTTCAAAACACTGGTGATCAGGATGCTCACAGGACTGGTTGATTTTAGTCACAAATTAGAGGAACATATGGAAGCTAAACTAATTGAAATAAAGGGAAATGCACAGGAAATCAATAGTGATGGAAAGGAAACTGGGACTCAAATCAAAGGAGTGGACCAGAAGGAGGAAAAAAATGACCAAACAGAAAAGAATGAAGAAACAAGAATTCAAAAAAATGATGAGAGGCTTAGGAACCTTCAGGAAATCTTTAAACGTTCCAACATCCGAATTATAGGGGTATCAGAAGGGGAAGAGGAACAGCCACGAGTGGAAATCTTATCTGAACAAATAAAGGAGAGCTTCCCCAATCTGGCAAAGGAAATAGACTTCCAGGAAATCCAGGAAGCTCAGAGAGTCCTAAAAGAAGTTGGACCCAAGAAGGAACAAACCAAGGCACATCATCATTACATTAGCCAAGATTCAAATGAAGGAGAGAATCCTAGAAGCAGCAAGGGCTAAGGGGACAGTCACCTACAAAGGAGTTCCCATCAGACTGTCAGCTGATTTCTCAAAAGACACCTTACAGGCAAGAAGGGGCTGGAAAGAAGCATTCCAAGTCATGAAATCCAAAGACCTACATCCAAGATTGCTCCATCCAACAAAGCTTTCATTTAGAAAGAAAGGACAGATAAAGTGCTTCTCAGATAAGGTCAAATTCAAGAAGTTCATCATCACCAAGCCCTTATTATATGAAATGTTAAAGGGACTTACCTAAGAAAAAGAAGATAAAAAATATGATCAGTGAAAGGACAGCAAACTCATAGTTATTAAGAACTACACCTAAAACAAAAGCAAACTAAGAGGACAGCTAGATCAGGAGCCGAACCATAGAAATGAAGATCACGTGGAGGGCTAGCAACAGGGGAGTGGGAAGAAGAGAAGGGGGGAGAAGGTACAGAAAATAAGTAGCATAGATGGTAGGTAGAAAATAGATAGGGGGGAGGGCAAGAATAGTATGGGAAATATAGAATCTAAAGAACTTGAGACACGTGGTCATAAACTAAAGGGGGAATGGTGGGGGAGGTGGTGTGCAGGGTGGAGGGGAATGAAGGGGGGAATAAAACAACTGTAATGGCATAATTAATAAAATATATTTTTAAAAAACAAAAAAAATGTCAAAACATATTCTTTAAGTTCTGGATCATTGTATTGGGTTGGCCAAAAAGGCCATTTAGTTTTTTTCCATAATGGAGAATGTGTTTTTCATTTTCACCAATAACTTTATTCATTTGAATATTTTGAGTATGTTGCCTAACTACCGCTTGGTAGATAGAACATTGATTGCTCTCAATTAGTGTCTGGATTTGATCACTATCAACTTCAACTGTTCTACTGACCACAGAGCATTGTTCGGGGAGAAATCTCCATCACAAAACTTCACAAACCACTTTTAACACATATGATCAGTCACAGCACCTTGTTCAACAACTGCACAAATCTTTTTTTTTGCATTTCAGCTACATTTTTACCTTTCTTAAAATAATAAAGCATAATATGCCAAAAATATTGCATATTTTCTCTCATCTTCAAATATTAAAATAGTTACACAAAAATTCACCAATTTTGATAACTTTTAAATGCACACTGACATGACAGCTGTTAAAATACAATCTAACAAAATTGTTTTGAATGAACTTAAAGACAACTAAGTGCTACTAGAGCCATATTAAGGAAAAAACAAATGAACTTTTTGGCCAACACAATATTTCCTGTCACTAGAAAGACACAGAGAGAGAAAAGTTGAAGAGAATTTATTATACTTCAAACTCCTTCTTTCATATAGTGATCAGTGATGGAAAAGAACCATACTTCCTACTGGAACTCTGTCAAAGTAAAAATGCCTCAACAGGTCAGAATCAAGTTGCCCACTGCTTATGGCAAGGGATATGGAAAAAAGCTTACATTTTTCTTCTGTAATATTAGTCTGAAAATAATATTTTACTTTTTAACCCAAGGACACATTTTATCAATTTTAGAGAAAGAAAGACAAACATGGATGTGAGAGAGAAACATTGATCGGCTGCCTACCATACATGTCCCAACCAGGGGTCAAACCCACAAAAGTTGATAAACATTTTAAATGTTTATTGATTTACCATAGGGCTTCTAAGTGGAATGGCCATCCATGAGTTTTTATCTTTCTCACACTTATTTACATTTTCAATCTTTGGGAGTTTTATCTTCACCTCAAACTTGCAGTAGGCTAAGATCAAAATGTTTTCTCTTTGTCTCATGCAAAGATCAATGCAACTCTCCTGAAGCACTTTTTCTATGTGGTCAGTCACCAATCAAGGAAGGTCAAATGTGTGGTTTCACAATGTCAACTTGAAGTCATCTTGGTTGCTGTGGCAGGAGAAGGGATACCTGGCAGATTGCACACTGGCTTTTCTGTCTCATCTAGGAAATGACACACATCACTTCTACCCAAAGCTCATTGGCCAGAACTAGTAACTTAACTCCACCCAACTGCAAAAAAGAGAACTTTAAAAAAAGAGTAGAGAAGCAAATAAAATGTTTAATGAGCAGCAGCCAGTGTGATTTAACTATTTTGCCTTCTATTTTAAATGGCATTTCTTTTCATTTATCCTACATTAAGATTTACTAAGTTTATAGTATATTCCTCATCTCGTAAATAATCACCCTCTTCATGATTTTAAAGATTTTGGTTCTATGCCCCTGAAATTGCAAACATTTTAGTATATACCCATGGTTAATAAACAGCCAAAAGGTTGTTGATTAGTTTATAACATCTTCTATAGATCTTTCCTAACTTTATGTATTTGTATCTTTCTTGATATACAATAATATACATTCTAGGTTCAGCATAACTATGATATTGAACAGAGTGAAATAATATGTTCTGTTTCTTTCTAATATCTTTTTGATGAAGCTCAACATTTTATTGAATGTTCTATCCAAAACAAAACTTCAAGCCTCAGTCTACTACACAATGACTTCACTAACTAGACTCCCATTATTTCATATGCAGAATTGTACAAATTTTCCCTAAAACACAGGATAGACATACAATGAAGACATGGTCTACTTTTCTACTTACTCACCTCACCTTTTTGTTTGACCTTCCAAAAAGCAGCCCTGGATTGCACAACAGTAGGCTGGGAATTGTGTGCTCTCATTGGAGTGGCTGCTGGTGACAAAGGACTGACTACTTCTCCGGGACAGATAATAATGGGCCGTACTATCAATGGAACAATATTTGGTGGTCAGTTTTTTTCCTTTAAATTTTCTCCATAGTAGAACTATTCATATTCTTATAGTGAAGATTACTGAAAAGGAAGACAAAAAATAAAAAAAAATTTTTAAAAAAGGAAAACTATTTGTTTAAATATTGAGTGTGTAGAATACATGTAAAGACTACATAAAAAGCTATTCTATTAATTACTCAAAAGTAAACAGAATTTGTATAGAATGATAGCTATAATTGCAAATTGAAGTTCAATTTGCATTAAAATGAACCAACACAGAGGAACAAAAGGAAAACTTGAACCAAATTACCAAGAGATAATTTCTTATTTAGAAATAAGAAATAATCTTGAATTCTTCCTATGAAGAAAAATTTAAAGTATTATCTACTTTTTTCTATGCTTTTTAAGTAGAGAAAATTAAAGATGGGAAGTTTATTAGGAGCAAGTCAAATATAATCAAATAGTTTTATTCATTCAACAAACACTGATTAAACTGCTTGTTCATGTCAAACACCCTTTCTTTATTTGCACTTTTGGCCAAATTACAGGTTGGAAAGGTGAAGATGCTATACCAAAGCTGGTTACTGATTTCACAAGAATAAGAGATTTGACCTGGGTGTGCTGGTGACACATACCCTGCCTTTTGACAAAATCAATGAGGCATTTGACCTAATGTACCAAGGAAAAAGGTAAATTACCAAATAGATGGGTAAGTGGTTTGAAAAACCTTACAATGATTCTATTTGATGATAAAAATGAATCAGTTTATTTTCTGACATTTTCCACATCATCAGACATATAGAGATGCTTAAAAGATTAAATAGTGCCCCTGGCTATTGTGGCTCAGGTGGTTGGAGCATCATCCTATACACCAAAATTTAGGGGTCAGGGCATGCACCTAGGTTGTGGGTTAGATCCCCAGTCAAGGCACCTCTGGGAGGCAATTGATCAACATGTCTCTCCCTCCCTCCCTTCCCCTCAGTCTAAAATCAATAAACATATTTTTTTAATTTTTATTAAAAAGATTAAATAATGGCCATTTGCTGGGAGGAAAGCCTCTTCCTACCTACCTACTCTGTTTCCATAATATACACTGTTCCAACATAGAGTGGTGGTATAAACTAACACATATTTTTTTTCTTTCACAAATAATCGTTACCTTTGTTGGAGCCACTCCCTAGAAAGAGGTTTCTGTACTGTAACGTCAGGTCCCTCTAGTACAGTCTAGTCCTGACTCTGAAATCATTATGTTCTGTAATTTGACCAAGAGTGCACACTCAGGTGAAAACCATTGAGAGATGGGCAGTGAGTGGCAGGTGTCAGATACTTACAGGATGTCCCGACTCTCTCATTTTCTGGCTTTGTCATGGGTCTTTTATAAGACACACCTAATCCACAATTTAATCTATATTGTGTTTCCTTGGCATGAACTCTGAGAACTGATTTACAGAAATGTCCCAGCTGGGGCATCCATAGCAATTAGGGAGTGGGTAAGACTAGGATCAACAATTTTTGTTAAAATGATTAAGCCTTGATCAGTGGAAGCAAAGGGCAAAACACCAGGAACAGTGTTGCACAGGGGAGATGCAGGATGGAAGAGCAAAGAGAAGAGAAGATGTTACAAAATGGGGGTGGGGGTTCCCAAAGTTAAGTGACAGGAGTTTGATGGCAGAGAAGCAACGTCACAAAGGAAGGACATAGGTCTATAGTGTGAGGAGCCAGGCTACTTCACAGGGAAGGAATCTGAGGAAATGTCCCTGCTGATATGAACTCCCTAATTTGAAACATGTTAGTTACAACATATCAAAAAGAAATTCAATAAAAAGAAGAGAAATAAACATTATTTTTAAAGCTATGCTAAGTATCTTAATGCATAAGCTCCACAATATCTTGCACAATCTCAGAATCCCTATATTCCTCAAACCAGGAGCTGAGTTGGGTTTGGGGCCATGGATCCTGGATCTCACAGCTTCTCCACCACTCCCCATTTCCCCTAGAGTTCTCAGTCATGGGATGTACCCAACAAGGATGCTAAGTGGCAGCCAAATGGAAAATGTTGCACTGCTTCCTTAATAATGGGTCAAGGCTACCATACTTTTGAAATAGGCCTGGTTGCCAGTGGTAGGAAGGAAGGCTAGGGGGAACACCTGAATAAGGCCTCCTACTCTCCCTGCGCCCCACTGAGAAGACCACCTGATTGCCCACACAGTGGAAAAGTATCAGCAGAGAAGGCCAAGGATGGGCCTCTCCAGGTGTGCTTAGCATAGGAGTCAGAAAACACACGTGAGGTCAGGCCTGCCTGCCATACAAACTGAATAGAAGCCAGGAAGCAGAGGAGAGGAGATGAGCCCCAACAACGGACTGGCCGGTGAAGGTGCCATGACTCTGACTCATGGTGAGGAAGGGCCACAGAGGTTCTCCCTCCACAGACAGGTCCAGCTCCAGTCCCTGAGTGAAGAAAACATTTATGCTCGGCAACCCACAGCTCCTTCAGAACTGAGATAAGGAATTCTGTGTTTCTGAGGCTTATCCCCCATTTTGCTACAACCTGTTGAAGGACTTATTCAGGAGTACGAATATTTGGGTTCTCAGAAAGTAGCATGGTTGGTTCTCACCAACCACCTCCTCTTTCATGCCCAGTTTGCCCTCAGCTACAGAAGAGCCAAGAGCGGTGTCTGTTCCAAGAGGAAAACCTCACTGCAACACTGTGCTTTACTTCTCCAGAGCACCTCTGGGCAACAGAGTCCTCGGCCGGGGGCCAGCCAGGGTCCCCAGTTCTCCCCCAGCCTATTGACATCATATGTAAAGTATTATTAATGCCAAAAATGTAAGGGGATAACAAGATAAAAGAAATGAGGTTTACCAAATTGTGTCTATAAAGAAAGACTAAATCAAATCCTGAAATGAAAAAACAAAAATTGTGAGTTTTGGTTAAATTAATCATAAAAATTATACTGATTTTTTTGTATAATTATTAACAGCATTCAAACAATCCTGACCTTCTGAAGAAGCCGGGAACAGTTTGGAAGACTACCTGACTGATTATGAGCCTGTCTGGTTAATTTATAGTCTGATATGATGAACCAAGGGTTACCATGAATTTCAACAAATATTTACAGCCAGCATCTCAACAACAGATAGCTATGAAGATTACAGCATTTGTAGTAAAATATATTAGTGTTTTCTGTGTTAAATAATTATGATAACTGATGTGCTTATAAAGAGAATCAGGATGTTTGGGAACTGTTTAAAACTAGTTCTAGAGAAGTGGGAGTGAGAAATGAAGTAGTAATTTTAAAACACTAGATTGATTATATGCTCACAGTTTTTTAGGTTGAGTGATAAATATATACGGTTTCAATATACTGTTCTACTTCTGCATATGTTTAAAACTTTTCATAATAAAAATTTTACTAGAAAAACACCTCATACAGAACAGGCTGACAGTGACCAGAGAGGAGAGAGGAGGAAATTTCAGGGTAAAAGGGGAAGGGTTTGCAGGAACAAGTATAAAGGACACAGGGACAAAAGGCGGGGGAGTAGAAATGGGAGGGAGGTGGGAGGGCTGGGGGATGGGCTGGGCTGGAGGTAAAAGGCAGAGAACTGTACTTGGACAATAATTAAAATTAAAAGAAAAATATCTCATACATATGTGATATGTATATCACACATATGATGCTGTTATATAATTTCTGAGTTCCAATAACTTCAAGCTACTCTTCTTTAATAAGCTGCTAAATAATTTCCTTTTTAACATCTGTTAACTTCCTTTCACTTAACCCACTTTGCCTCTGTGAACTATAATCACAACTAGTAGGATACCAGAAGCTATATAAATAAATAATATGAAACTGAAGAATTGTAAAAATGAAGAACACATCTATACTCTCAAATTTCCATCTTTATTAAATAACTGCCTGTTCCCCCTTTGGTAATTATTACAACATATAATGTTTAGAGCTTTACAGAGTATAATGGCCTGTGACTTGCATTCAGTAATCTATATTCTATAGTTAACTGAAAGAGAAAAAGAAATGTACTTACAATAAAGTAATGTAAGCAAAATATTTGTAGCTATAAGATTTAACAGACAGCAAGATTTATATAAAAAACAAAATGAGAGTTTTTAAACTATTATACTCATAGTTGCTACATGAACAGTTTAAGGATAAGACAAATAATTTGGATAAGATTAACAAAGACTAGTCCTAACCTTAGCATAATTTCCTCAAACCTGCCAGTTTTTTAAAGAATCTTTATCGCATACTGACCTCTGAGAGAAGATAAATTTCTGTGAAGCGTTGGCTGAGGAGGGTAGTGACGCAGTTAGACAGACCTGAGCAGAGTGGGGAGGGTAGGCCAGGTACAGCTGTCACCAGAGTGGAAAGCCCCAGGTGCCTAGCAAGGGGCAAAACTGGGCTGGGATCTTACCCTTGGGGTAACTTTTCCTCCCCTAGCATATCACTTGTTTTTTGGGTTAGACTCCCTGCCTGACATTTCACATCAGTTGTCCTATGGCTCAGACCCTCCCCTGACCTCTCTTACTCTAGCACGCCTCTGCACATGTGGCAGAGCACCCCAGAAGAGGAACAAGGGGGCCGGAGAATAGCCCCAAACAAGCCCTTGCACAACCATTCTCTTAAGCCTTATGCCCTCGGGACAATGAGGTTCTGATGCATATACCTTAGGAACAAAGCCTCAGGTCTGTTGCCCACAGAGAGTTTTGATCAAACTAGAGACAATATCTAGGTCTCAGTTTTGTCTCAGCTCCATGCCCAGAAAAGCAGCAAGACCAGGTGGGGCAAAGCCAGGCAGGGCAATGCCATGGTTAACATTAGGACCAGCTGCAATGACTAATGATCCCTGCCCAGACAATAACCAATCAGTGGAGACCAAGGCCCTGAGGAGACATACCTGGGAAGCTGATGGATATTCTATTGGGATCCTCCCCTAAAGACTTGAAATAAAAACCCTTCAGAGGAAGGACCCAGTGTGGGTCTATCTCCAGAACATTCTCACGACTTTCCCCACCTCTTCTTTTCCCAGTGCGTTCATTTTCTCTCTCTCCCCCACTCCCTCCCTCTCCATCCGCCCTGCATTCTCCCACTCTTTCTCGCTCACGCTTTCTCTCTCTCTCCCTCTCTCTCTCTTTCTCTCACACCCATGCCTTTCTTATTTCCTTATTCCCTCAAGACATGTGCCTTGGCTTTCTTTCCCCTATACTCCAAGTGCCCTTCTTTTGCCTCTGTAACTTGTTTCCTGAGGCCACACAGCCCGGCTGGCTTCCATCTCCACAGTTCACTTCTACCTCTTTGGCTTTCTATATAAACTTTTGCTTATATTTGATTATTGGCTCTGAACTCTTTCTTAGCCAAAACCCTAGGTCTAACGTCTGGCACCATTGACTGTTAATAAGTAGTAATATCTCAAAGAAGAAATTTATATTCCTGCTCATTTAAGCTCCCTCATTAGAAATGGAAGCCAGCTAATCCATTTGTAAATGCTTCCTTTGTTGGCATGTGGTGAATGGGACCCACCCTGAAGATGGTTGGCATTTCTCATGCTATGCCCTACACCTGTTGTGCTTCTCCTCCTCACCCCCTCCCCTTCTCTCCTTAACTTCCTCAGTCCACCCCAGATCCACCTTAAGACTCACCTCGAGACTTCCGCCAAGATGGAGAAGTAGGTGGAGGGTCCACCTCGCCTCTGTGCACAACCAAATCTAAGAACAACTATTTTTAACAGCAGTCACAACCAAGCCACACGGAAAATCGACAATATGGAGTCCAAAGGACAACTAGATACTCGGCTGGACCGGTACGAGGAGCCAGGCCAGCAGCGGAGCAGGTTAGCAAGAAAAAATTCCCGGGGCGGTGCGCGGTTCGTGCAGGGAACCGAGGGCGCGATTGCGAGCGAGCTGGCTGCCGGAGCGCACAAAGAAGGGGCGCGGTGGGTCGCTCAGTCGCGCGCATTTACGTGCGGAGAAGCCAGTGAGAAGGGAAGCCGGCGCAGGGATACCCATCGGATAAACCCCATGCGTGCGGAGTGACTGGAAACGCTGGGCTAGCGGAGAGGAACGCCATTGCTCCCTCTCTGACCCCGCCCCCACACACAGCGTCACAAACCAGCGACCTGGGTCGCCCCGTCCTGGTAAACAACTAAGGCTTCGCTCCGCTCACTTAACAGAGCGAACAGACCAAAAATGGCTCTAGGACAACTCAGAGCCCCAGAACCGATAGATCTAAGCGATGAAGAAATAGCCAGTCTTTCAGATGCACAGTTCAAAACACTGGTTATAAGGATCCTTACAGAACTGGTTGACTTTAGCCACAAATTAGAGAAACATATGGAAGCTAAATTAATTGAAATGAATGGGGATACAAAAGATTCCAATAGTAATGGAAAGAAAATTGGGACTCAAATCAAGGGAGAGAACCAGAAGGAAGAAAAAAATGGTCAAACAGAAAGGAATGAAGAAATAAGAATTCAGAAAAATGAGGAGAAGATTAGGAACCTCCAGGACATCTTTAAACGTTCCAACATCCGAATTATAGGGGTACCAGAAGGGGAAAAGGCACAACCACCAGTTGAAAAATTATTTGAACAAATAATAAAGGAGAATTTCCCCAAGATGGCAAAGGAAATAGACTTCCGAGAAATCCAGGAAGCTCAGAGAGTCCCAAAGAAGTTGGACTCAAGAAGGAACACACCAAGGCACATCATAATTACATTAGCCAAGATTAAAATGAAGGAGAGAATCTTAGAAGCAGCAAGAGCTAAGGGGACAGTCACCTACAAAGGAGTTCCCATCAGACTGTCAGCTGATTTCTCAAAAGAGACCTTACAGGCAAGAAGGGGCTGGAAAGAGGTATTCCAAGTTATGAAATCCAAAGACCTACATCCAAGATTGCTCTATCCAGCAAAACTTTCATTTAGAATGGAAGGACAGATAAAGTGCTTCTCAGATAAGACCAAATTCAAGGAGTTCATCATCACCAAACCCTTATTATATGAAATGTTAAAGGGACTTACCTAAGAAAAAGAAGATAAAAAAGACGAACAGTGAAAGGACAGCAAACTCACAGTTATTAAGAACCACACCTAAAACAAAAGCAAACTAAGAGGATAGCTAGATCAGGAGCAGAACCAGAGAAATGAAGATCTCAGGGAGGGTTAGCAATAGGGGAGTGGGAGGAGGGGGAAGGGGGGAGAAGGTACAGAAAATAAGTAGCATAGATAGTAGATAGAAAATACATAGGGGGAGGGTAAGAATAGTAGGGGAAATACAGAATCTAAAGAAATTGAGACACATGTTCATGAACTAAAGGGGGAAATGGTGGGGGAGGGGTATGCAGGGTGGAGGGGAAAGGAGGGGGGAATAGAGCAAATGTAATGGCATAATCAATAAAAAAATTATATTTAAAAAAAAAAAAAAAAAAGACTCACCTCCACTTCAGATCCTGGCAGCTACAAAACAGTTTTCCTTCCCTGATTTCCTTTGGCTCTGAGTGACTTTATGGAATTTTAACACATTCACATCCACAAAACTGGAACATAATTTGACCCCTCCAAAGAAAAATAAAAAGAAAAAAAAGTTATTTGACATGTTTGGGTCTCTAACATAAGATATACAGTTCTTTTTTATTTTTAATGATTTCTTTGGTCTGAAATCATTATACATCCTTAAAAATGCCATGTAATAGAGTGAACAATACTTGACTTTAGAAGGCAACACAATCACAATATATTATTTCAAGAAAAAAAATATGCATGTTTAAGATATATTTACTGTCTCTTCAAACATCTTTGCCTATCATTGTTTTCTAAATGCTACTACAGCGCCCTCTGGTGTTTTTTATTTTACACTTTTCATCTCCTAGATCCTATTTTCTATGAGAAAAAAAATTCAGGCAGAGAGTTAACAACTCATTTACATCATAGCTGACATTTAAAAAAGCATTTTCATGTACATTATCTTGTCTAATTCTCCAGATTTTTCATTTGAC